TGCTGAGTGTCCCAGCTTCTTTACAATCCCAGAAGCCCCTTCTGGAATCCTATTTGGAGAAGGGGTGGCTGGGCTCCCCTGCCAGTCCTGAAGCTTACCCACCCAGCCTGGGGTTCTCTGTCTGATACTGAAGTCTGTGCCAGCAGCTGGGATGGGCTCAGAGAACAGCCTGCCCCACTTCTCATTCTGCCCTTGCTCCATGGGTTTTCCTTTCTCTCATATGCCTTGACCCTACCCACCTTTGTGCTGGCAGCTGGTGGACTGAGGACCTCAGTCCCTGGCTGACACGGTCACAGCCCCATAGCCATTCTCTCCAGGGGAAACCACAGCCAGCAGCCCCTGAAGGTGTGCCCCACTCAGGAGGGTAAAGGAGGGGCAAGGTTTTCCCTGCGGCTTTCCCTGGTTCCCTGGGAAGCAACCCCACCCATGCCCAGCCTCCCTATGGCCATTAATTGTAAGCTTTTTTGAAGAATCTTTGAAGACATCAGAAAATTCTCATGATAGAGTGAAAAAATTGGATGCTGTTTTCCCCAACAGCATCTTGCCAATTATTTAACTCTGAGTACCTATGAACACAGGGACAAAAATCCTGGAAGGGAATTCTCCCCCCTGCTTTGTTCACAGTGGCTCTCTTTGGGTGGTAGCTATCTTTGATTATTCTTATTTTCTCTACTTCACAAATCTTGTACAATAAAGAGGTGCCATTTTTTAAAAAAAATCAAAAGACTTCACTGAAACTTACTTTTACCTGTCTCCATCCTGGGGAGTTCTGGGGAATGTGGTGGGAAGGGGCTCATTATGGGGAGAGGTTCCAAAGCCACTCAGGCGTCTTCAAACCACGGCCGGCGGGCCACATGCGGCCCGCAGAGGAGTCTGATCCGGCCCGCCAGGTTTTTTGGGCAGTGAGCGCAGCCGAGGTGTTACAGTAGGAATTAGTAGTTCATATAGTCCGGCCCTCCAGCTCTCTGAGGGACCGTGATCTGGCCCCCACTTAAAAAAGTTTGAGGACCCCTGCTAGGCCATACTCAATGCCAGAAAATGAAGGCAAGAGCTCCCCAGTGCAGTAAGCTGCCTATACCCCAAGGTCCTGTTCACTGGGTCCGGGCTGCCTCATGGCTCTTACAGAACAGGCCCCGGCAGGATGCTAAGGGAGCTGTGGCACTGCCCACCAGCTCCAGCTGGCAGAGAAGCTTCTGCAGTGGGCAGCAGGCCAGGGTGGGGGTGGCAGGAGGCTGAAGCCAGGCTGACTGCCCAGGAAGTGGTGCTGCAGTCGGCTGGCTTTTGGTGGCAGGGTGGGAGTTCCTGGGTTTTGGGGCTGCTCTGGAGCCAAGGCCCACATGGCCCCTGAGGTCTGTCTCCCAGGCCAAAAGTCAGCCTGGGCAACCTGGAACTGGCACACCTGCCTAAGCCCCCTGAGAGCCCCATTCTGGGTGACTTGGCCTTTGGGAATGGAGCTGTGCCTCCTGGGCTCATGACCCAGAGAAAGGTGAGGGGGCAGAAATCCAGAGGTGTCAGCAGGCACTAAGCCACTATGAAGATCTGGGCCAGGCTGGGGTCTCTAATGAGCTCTTCACTGTCATAGGCCCCTTTGCTCTTCCCACCTTCTCATTGATCTCTCTGTTTCTTCATTGAGCACCTCCTATCTCCTTCCTCTCTGAATCCATTCTCACTGTGGGTATTCTCTCTGATCCTTTCTTCCCTCACTAAACCCTTCCCCTCTCTGAGCTCCCCATCCTTTCACTGAGCCCAGGCATTGGAATTAAGAGGGAACTTCTCCATTTCTTATCTGGCTGCCCCTCCCCAATGGGCCTGGACAAGTTATCTATCGACCCACCCCCTCTGCAGGGCCCTGCGTCCTTTCTTAAGAGCAACAGCTGCAAAATCCCTCCCTGTCCCCAAGATGCCATGAATAAGTTTCAATCATTGCACCTGGACAAGGGGCCTGCGCATATGTGCTTTGGGGCCCCCTGGACTCCAGCAAACAACTCTGGGAGGTGTGTGCAGGGCATCTTCAGGGAACCTGCGGATCATCTTAAATCCTGGGCCAGAAGGCTTCTGGCTGGAATGTCCAGATGAGCTACTGGGCCTAAGCCATGTTTTCTCCCTTAAGTTAAAACCTCAAGTTTATAGGTGTGAGGGATGGGTCCCTTTTAAATCTCAGCTCCAATGAATAAATCAAACCATGAAACCCTGGAGGTGACTTCTATTTCTGCAGATGGAACTACAGGATTCCCAACCTACAGATTTATAGAGCAGAGAGATTTAAAAATCTTGGTGCTAGCAAGACCTTTGGGGTCATCTACTAAAGACCTATCATTTTGTGGTTGAGGACACTGAGGCCCAGAGAAGAAAGAGACCTGTTCAAGGTCACACAAGAAGCCAGTGTCAGAGGTGGGCCCAGGAAGAAAGTCTTTGGACTCCTGTCCCAGAGCCCATTAGTCACCTCTACCACACGGCTTCCTCCAACTCCCACTGGCCCATGGTGCTCTGGTTGACCCTCCCCCAGGGAACCTGTGTGTGGAAGCCACACGGGGCCCCTTAGGCAGTGGGCTAGGGATGCTCCAAGACTTTGCTCCGTGACCTTGGGAAAGTCACGTCATTTCCAGGCCTTGCTCTGCTCCTCTGTGAAAAGGACCAGGTTATGAGGATGAAATGTACCAGGTTATATGAGCGTGAAATGAGATAATGTATGTGAAGTGACAGGTCTGTGGCAGGGGCTCAGAGTGTGTATAAGAGTTAGAGAGGAGGGTGGGCTCCTCCCATCTCCTCTGCAGAGCCCCAGGCTGACCGCTGGGACAGGAGGAGCTTGATTCTGCCCCTGAAGGCAATGGGAAGCGGTCAGAGGAAGGGAAAGATCAGTAGAGGAGGCACAGGACAGCCATGAGGCAGTTGCTCGTGACCAAGGCCCCATCTCAGGGGAGAGGACTAACTACTTCAGAAAGGAACTGGCAGTCCCCAGCTTTCCCAGGTCAGCAAGAACCTGGCAGGCTGAGGAGGTAAGAACGGGTGCAACAGTGAGCAGATAGGCCTGTCAGACCCAGACTCTTTGACAGGCATGAATGGCAGTGGCAGGGGTGGGCTGAGGTGGGGGCACCCAGCTGGCCAGTTCAAAGGACATTCCACCTTCAAATAACCCAGCTGACCTTGAGGGAGTCAGCTCCTTCCTGCGCTGCACACCTGCCCTTCACTCATATGCCTCAGGCTCCCCACCTGGAAAGCCGGCAGCATGAGTCAAGAAGCTGACACTTTACTGAGCTTTGATACCAAAAGACTGGGACAGGTCATCAGCTTCACTTGTGCCTTAAAGAAGACAGCTTGTGTGGCTTCATGACCTTGGGAAAGTCAGTCAAGTCTCTTGTCTCAGCTGTGAAATAGGGACAACGATGGCTGCCTTGTGAAGTTTTTGTGAGGATTTACTGAGTCAAATGTAGCATTGTGCCTAGCATGGAGCTGGTAGCAGGCCCTCCACCAATGCCCACATCCCCTGGGAACAGAAAAATGTGCTTTAGACAATTGCTAAAAACTTTTCCACCTTCATCCAGCTCCTTCTTAAGAAATTCTTACTTGCATTCAATTTATTAACACTTGCCCAGTATTTTACAGCTTAAAAATAGTTTTCCATCCATTATCTGAATTATTTCTTTGAACAGTAAAGTAGATACTATTAACACTATACCTGTTTCACAAATCAGGAAACAGGCTCATAAAGTTAAGTGGCTTTTGAAATCACATAACTTAAATTTGAACCCATGTCTCAGATACCATAATCCATGACTCCAAATGCATCCACCCCATCTCTTAAAATCCAATCAAGTCTTTATCCACACTTTAAGAATCACCCCCCCCCTCACCCCTCACAAGAGAGTGGGATGGGGTACGAAATTAAGGAACCAAGAAGCTGGTGTTATGTGGGAGCAATTTCCTAGCCAGCTTGGTCCTATTTTGGGCTAGGGAAGGATCTGGCACATGCTGGGAACATAACCTTAAGATGCCCCCTTGACAGAGAAATTCTCCAGCTCCTGTTCTGCTCTCCATCAAAGTGTCTGCCTTTTCTCTTGACTTAGGACAAAACATCAGCACAGGCCCCTTGTTGCCAGAAGTGGGTGAGTGAATGAGGTCTCAGGGGAACGAGAAGTTATGGCTAAGATAGAGCACAGGCATTGGGGTCCCAGGCCAGAACTGGCTACCCTTCTCTTGCTCTCCCCCAAATCCTTCCCCACAATGAACCTGCTGTCAGGAACAGGAACTGCAGGAGGCTTCAACACTGTCCAGGCAGGAGCCCTGAGAGGGAGGGGGAGGAGGATGCACAACAGAGGCTGCGTCTCTTCTCTCATATCTTCTTTTTACCAGGGATTTGCTCTGGGTTTAGGCCCAGTCTGAGCTCCAGAAGCTCTCCTTGGGCACCCAGAGAGCCCCACTAAACTCTTTGTGGCTATTTTCACTTCGATGTCCTCCATCCTCTTCTCAGTGTGGAGGGTAAATGCCATCCTGTGTGAGACCCAGTTCTCATTGCCAGCTCCTGCCTTCTCAGGGGCATATGGGCAGGTGAGAAAGGGGCTACTCCCTGCTGGACAGAAGCCGAGCATTCAGATGGGGGCCTGGTCCTTCTGCCACTCCCAGTGACCAGCATCTCCACAAGGTCTCTCCCTTCCCTAGGGAGCAGGTCTTACTCCTCAGTTGAGGGAGGGCAATTGGGCTGCAGTTGGAGGGCTCTCCAGCATTCTCATGGGCAGGCCATGGCCATTTATACCCAGAGGGGTCTGTCCATGACCCTGCAGGGTTCTCACTTTCTCCATTCCTCTCTGTGAAATGAACAACATTCCTCATCTCTGTTCTCCAGGTGCCTCGGATCCCCGGCCAAGCACTCCAGCAGTCCCCCAACCTACCCTCTGTTAGGGGGCCGGCGGACTCTGAGCTCCCCAGCCCAGCTAGGGAGGCCCGAGGTTCTACCCCGCCCCAGCCCCTCTGGGAAATGCCCCCGCCCCACCAGGGGCTCTCACCTCCCTGCTGACTGCCGCGCTCCCCCGGCCGCTCGAGCCAGGCTCTCCGACCCCGCTTGTCCAGACTGCCTCCGGGCCACCTCCTCAGCTGGGCAGGGCAGCTCCGCTGGTCTCCACAGCCCCGCGCCCTCTGTCTCCTCGCGGGCGCCGCCGCCGCCGCCGCCGCTTGCTGAAATGCTGGACAGCGCACTACCATGGAGGCGGTCTCCCTGCCCGCCGGCCGGCCAGAGCGGACTGGCGCCCACAGCGCCCTCTGTAGGTGTGGAGGCCTCTCCACCCCGCAGCAGAGGCGAGAAATGGGGCATTGGGGGATTTCCACTCAGGGACGTCTGTTCCACTCCTTGTGGGTGGGGGCACGCCAGACGCGAGCGGCATCCGGAACAAGGGAGATTATTTATTTGGAGCTGGAGTGAAGAAGTTCGGGATGCTGAGTTCTGGCTAGGACACTGCACAGCAGATGTCTAAGAGGGCCCACCCGTGAGTCGCCTCCAGAACACTCCTTTCTCGGGCGGGTGCTAGTAGAGGACGTCTCAATGAATGAGAGGAAGTTTGAGACTGGAGTCGCTGGACCTTTCGTAATGCTCGCTCGGTTGGGCATCTGGAGTCCTGAGTTCAAGTCACCCTTTGGTTACTTTTCCTGATTTTGGATGATCTGTCTGTTCTGTGGCTCCTGCCTCCCTTTCCTTGAGTGAGCTGGCTGAGTGGCAGAAATTCAGGGGCGGGCTCCCAATGGGAGGTGGGAGCCCAGAAACCTTTCCCCAGTGGAAGCCCGGAACGTGGAAACCTTTGCTTGGAGCCCCCAGTGGTGTCCCCGTGGAAGCTTCCCTGCCTCAGCAAGCAGGGCTGGAAGTAGCTGAATAGGCATGAGCAGGGCTGGGACCAGGGTGAGGCAAGTGAGGCAGATTTTAAGAAGGCACGTATAGGACATTGAGGGTCATCCCTGGGTCAAGTGTATGTTTGTTGTAAGTCTGTGTGGGTTTATGTGGATGTGTGCCTATCTGTTTATAAGTATAACTGTGTGTGTCTGTCTGTCCATGTCCAGAGTCTGTGTGTGCCCTCCTCCTCTCTTCTCTCTTTTCCTCCCCCCCAAGTTTTTTCACCCCACCCACACATGTATCTTCAGTGTGTGTGTGTGATCCTGATACTGCAGGCCCAACCCAGTCTGTAGAACAAAACTTGGGATGTGGGAGAGGGATGGGCTACAGCTGCTACTGCCATTACCACAGGCCCACAGCCCCAGCAGCGAGTCCTCCGCTGGTCTCCTGCCTTCTGGCTGCATGAATATTTCATCTGCTGGGGTTTTCCTTGGGCTGGCCTAGCACCAGTGTGCTTGTTCCCCTGTTTGGGAGGGGCTGCCCCTTTTGCCTGGCTGATCAGGAAGTCAGCAGACCAAGGGCTGGGGAAGGGCACCTGGAGGGCCTGCAGGCCTTTCCTTGCCTGGATATCTGTGGCTGGGTGTGTGGAGAGGGTGTAGGGGAGGCCAGAGAAGGTGCAGGGAGGGTGTCCTCTCAAAGGGAAGCCAATTTCTTAAATTAAGTCAAGTTGGCTTTAAATCTCACCACACTGATTTGGTTTCAACCAAGCCCTGGCTTCAACTCTGTTTGAGACTATGCCTAGGAATACATTGCCCCAGCGAGGCATACCTTCTCCTGCCCTCCCCCTCATCTGCCTCTTGAAGCCCCTGCTCCACCCTCCAGCTTTACAGGGGGAACTGCTTCATGGGAGAAAGAGAGATGGCCCTGCAAGCTGGCTGGAAGAAAGCTTTCCTACCTTCCTTGGGACATCTTTCTACCACACATGAGATGGAGAGCCCGCAGCACTCGCACCCCTTGCACTCCCTTGCCCTGGCTCAGAGGAAGATACCTCTATCTTGGTTTCCCTGCAGGCCTGCTATTTTCTAAAAAGGGCTCCTTCCCTTGTGTTACACATTTCAATGAATGGCATCACCATCTGTGCTGGCTTTTCTCTGTTTGCTCCTCTGAGTCTCTTCCCCACCCATCTCTGTCCTGCTCTGGGCCTTGAGAATCTGATCTCTGAAGACAGGTTACCCAGGCTCCCTTGCTCTTGACTTCTGGTTGGACTCATCTGAGGGAAGTATTGCCAGGAGAATGAAGGGCGGCAGGAGGGAGAAGTTGGGTATTTATTTCCTTGCTGAGCTCCTCTCCATCTCTGGTCCAATTGCCCCTTGTTTACAGCTCAGGTCTTCTGGCTAACTTCTGGCATTTTTTTCTTCCCTGAGGCACCTCAGGCCGAGAGGCGGTAACAGTTCCCACTGTTACAAGTCTCTGGTACTTCTCTAATCTTTTTTGCTCCGTTCTCATATCCCCACGCACACCTCTGTGCAGAGTCCCTTCATCAATCTCTCTCCAAAGTAAACCTTTGGGGGGGGCTGTCTACATCATTCTGGGCCCCTGATCCAACCACCCTCCTTTAAGTCCAATCAATCTCAAGTCCGAACCCTGTAAGACCTTGAGTCCTCCAGATCCCCCTTCTTCCTACGGACCTTCCACCTCCTGGAACTGAACCTCCTCTTCAACCCCCTCCCCAAGGTGTCTGTCTGGGCCAGGCCTTGCTTGGTCCTGGTCCCCTGAAAAGTACCCGCCCCTCCCCGTTTACTCTCTCCTGGAACACACATCTCTACTCCAATAGCACTTGATAAATGAACCCTTCCAAGACCTCCCCATATAAAACAGCATCTCCTCGACCAACACTGGTTTTTACTCCTTTAAAAGAGTCATTGTGGTAAAGTATACATAAAAGTTACCATTTTAATTATTTAAATGTACATTTACATTGTTGTGCAGCTATCCCCCAAACTCAAACTGAAAATGCATGCATGAAACATTAACTTCCCATCTCTTCTCCCCTGGCACCCTCCATTTTACTCTGTGTCTATGAATTTGACTACTCCAAGTACCTCATATAGACGGAATTATACAGAATTTGCCTTCTTGTGTCTTAGCATAAAATCCTCAAGGTTCATCCATATTGTGGAATGTGTTAGAACTTTCTTCCTTTTTAAGATATTTATGAATAATATTTTATTATATGGGTAGACCACATGTTGTGTATTCATGCATTCATCTATTGGCGAACATGTGGATTATTTCTGGTGGATAATGCTGCTATGAACATAGTGTACAAATACCTGTTTGAGTCCCAGCCTTTAATTCTTTATGGTATACACACAAAAGTGGAATTACTTCTTTTGTTTAATTTTTTGAGAAACCACCATACCATTTTCCACAGCAGCTATAACATTGTCGTCCCCACCAGGAATGCAAAAGGGTTCCAATTTCTCCATATCCTTATCACCACTTATAATTTTCTAAATAATTAAAAATACTATATTTATTGTTTTTAAAAATACAGTAATCCTAATAGGTGTGAATAGGTGTCTCGTTTTGGTTTTGATTTGTATTTCCCTGATGACTAATGGTGTTGACCACCTTTTTGTGTGTACCTTGACATTTGTATTGCTTCTGTGGCATACCTCCTTATTTTTATCTTATCGCCATCTGCCATATTATCCATCTACTTATGGCTGTTTTTCTCTCTTCACACTTTAGACTTTGCTCACTGCTGTATTCCCAGTTTCAGCACATAGTAGGTATTCAGTAAATATTTGTTGATTGAATCTCTAAATGCTTCCCGTGATGGTTTCTCAATCCATCTTCTGCCTAGCTTCACCACCCAAAATGTTGTCTGTCTTACATTCTGCCATAAATAAACCTTTATGGAACAATAGTGCCATAAATAAACCTTTCCAAAGTAGACATGGGACTCGGTGTCTGATTCAGAGCCCTGCATCTAGAGCGATTCAAGCTCTCCCATAGCCCGACACACTTGCCTTCAATCTGTCACTAAATTTGGCATTATCCGCCTTCCCTGTCTCCTCGCCCACCAACCAACCCTGTATCTCCCATTAGCCTTTATATTTGCTGCAGCACCTTTTTCTATTTCCATGTCCTTCAACACTCAGCTCCAGGGCCAACTCCCTTTCCGGGTTCCCATCCTCCACTCCCTGGTGCCTGATCATCTCTGTCAGGGGCCTCATACTCAGAGGCAAGGGCAGGAGAGATCCTGTGATGAGAGACCTGGCCACACCAGGCTGGTGTCTTCACTCACCAGAGTTCCAAGGCCCACACAGTGGCTTATAGTGACCTTGACCTCAGAATTAGCTCTGCTCTTTCTCTCTTATTTTGCCCTACCTCTGCCACCCTCTCTCTGTGCCACCCTGAGTCTAGCATATGAATTTCATGAAGGCAGTGTTGGGTCATGGCTAACTCCATATATCCAACACCAGCATAGAGGAGGCAAGAATCATTGTTTGTTGAATTGAGTTGTCTGTCTCCAAGCTATTGTCTGTCCTCCTCCTCCACCCCCTTTTTCCTCCTCTCCACCCCTCAATCTACTCTGCTCTCTTTTTCTCTGACTCTGCCTGTCTCCTTCCATTTATATCTTTGTATGATGTGAGGTAGATGCACACCTTGGGGGCACTTGGCTTTGAAGTCATTCCCTCTCATCCGGTGCTTCTCAAAGTGTTCCCTCAATTCTCTGCATCAGAACCACCTTAAGTGCTTGTTAAATGTGATGGCATCTGAGTGCTCTCCAGACCTACTCTAATGGCCATCTATTGCTGCATAACAAATATCCCAAAACTTAATGACTCAAAACAACAACCATTTTATTATATCTCACAAGTTTGTGGATCAGAAATTTGGGCAGGACTTGTCTAAGTGACTCTTCTGCTCCATGAAGCATTAAATGGAACCACCTGGTGGTGTTCAGCTGATTAATGGCTGTGGATGGGAAGGTCCGGGCTCTGGTGGGGATGACGGAAGGGCTGGGCTCAGCTCTCCTTCTTGCCTTCTCCAGGCAGCCTCAGGCCTCCTCTTGTGGTGTCGCTAGCAGAGTCTTCAGGCTTCTCATATGGCAGCTCGGGGATCTGGAAGCGAGTGTTCTAAAAGAGAGGAATTAGAAGCTGCTAATCTCTTAGAGCCAGAGCTCAGAACACACACCACTTTCCCCATTTCCTATTGGTTACAGCAGTTACAGAGCCTGTTCCATTTAAAATCGCACTCCCCGACTTATACTCAAAGGTGGGGGACATAGATTCTGTCTCTTAACGGAAGGAGGGGCCAGGAATTGGTGGCCATCTTTAATCGGCCGTATCTCTGGAGTCA